GGTTTTAGTTTTGGAATGTGTGGTTATGTGATGGGGTATATATTTTGGTTCAATGGTTGGACTGTTCTTTGATAAACTTTTCATGTAGGTTCATTCTTTGGTCTCAGGATGTTGAATTTTACTAGGGTTTCTACTGTTGAAGCCAAATATTAACATCTCAGTCCTCAAGAAATCCATTGATGGATCTAATTGGCTGCTACATTATTTTTATTGTTGAGGACCTGGATAGGGTTCCATTTTAAATTATGTTCTATACTTAAGTAACTTTTCTTTAGCCCTTAGGCTTGTTTAAAATTGCATATCTAATTTAATCCTATCTGCTTTTAGTTCATAAAATTCATTATTCTGTTGATTTCTGCAGATTATCACCAACTCATTACTCATAACACGCTTTCTCTAAACCAACTTCAAAACGTGTTTTATATTTTCAATTCATGTGTGTTACCTTTCTGGCAATTTTATCATACTGTTGTGGGTGATGGTAATTCTTTACTTCATGTTTCAGGTAATCCAGTGGGACCACTATGTTTAGCTAATACTGATATATCGACTGCCTATGTTTACACTGACTGTCATCCGTTTATTGCATGACTTTTGAGGAATTCGATTTTGCCTGCTTCAACTTCATGTTTTGGCTTTTTATTCGGCGAAATTTATATTATGCTTTAGGTCTTGTCTTGCACAGCGCACTTAGTGGTTGGTAGAGTAAAAACTTCTGGGTCAGTTATCTTGTTTTTTCTTCTGTACATACGTTGCCCTGTACAGTGTAGCTTCCATTGTAGTTTCCGAATATTAGGCAATGGCGTTTCCACTAATTATCAAATTTTTCATCAGCTTTATTTTGTATATATAACTGATAAAATCAATATTCCATTGTGCAACTTTCAACGGCATAAAGTTTCTGAAGCACTTGAGAAAATCCTCAGTGTTCCCCTGCATGTACAGGACTGCCTTAAATTCTTCAGAAGCTTTATTCCTCTTATAGACTTGTTGTAGAGAAACTGATTTAATGGCGCGTATTTGAACTTGAAATATAATGAAAGTCTGAAATAGTTATTTGGTAACAATTTGGATTTGTTTATTTACATAATTGAAATCTTTACGTTTTGCTAATTTGATTCTGCTATTTGGCATTTTGGCTGCCCTTTCTGGCATGCTTTCAAAAGTTCCCTCGTCTGCAACCACTGGAGACGAGAAAAATGAAGATGCAAAAAAATCCCATCAGTTCAATCATATGTTCACAGAAAGCCTGTGATTCTCCTCACATAATAAGGATCTTGAATTTTCCTTAATCCATCAAATCCATGATAGTTGTTTTACAAACCTTTATCATAGCTCTTCCAAAAATATTTTAAAACAAGAAATTTCAGTNTGGGATTTAGTCAATCTGGAATCTGAGTAGGTTCGCATCAAAATGGTATCAGAGCATGATCCTGCGCCTATGTGGTAGCGCACGCGTGGCAGGCTGACCCGTGGCAGGCTGACCTTGGGCCCGAGCTGCTACCCCGAGAAAGGGCATGGAGGCCCGAGGGAAAGGGGATCCGCGTAGTCACCCAAGGGGTAAAGAGGTCGACGGGGGTAAAGAGGCCGACGTGGACGTCGGTTGCAGAAGCGTGGTGGAATGTTAGGATCCCACATTGAAATGGAAATGGGTGGGCATGTGGGTTATAAAGGCTTGGGCACCCTCCCTTGGCAAGCCGGTTTTCCAAGGAAAGTTCTACCCAAACCCACGAAAGACCCATGGCCCAGCCCAAAATGGTTGCCTTTCTTAATGGGCTGGAATCAGAAATTTGGGCCGAAATTAGGTTAGCTTAACCTAATAATGTAGTTCACTTGTTAGATTTGGCCCAACAAATAGAGAAGAAAAATTGGGCCTGGGAGGACTTAAAATTTGGGTTGGATAAACATGGGAAAACAATTATAATGGGGCATGGGTTTGGACAAACTGAAATTAGGCTTGGGAGAGGGCATGGGGCAGCAAACTTGGGGCTGGGGCAAGGAACTGGGTCAAAGGAATTCGGGTCAAGGGTCCATTTCCCTTATAACTAAAACAAATCACACGAATCCAGATTTTCCCTTCTCCCTGAAAGTCCAAAATATCCAGCCAACCCAAAGCTGACACGCCGATCTTGGAAGAAGCTGCATTATTACATGCCAACTACTGGTTACCGGAGCACAAGCTTGGAAGCACTTCGAACGATCGATTCCAACATCCTTCAACTACGAACAACACCTTTCTGGCGAATGATAGAAGTGGAGGAAGGATTTAGTAAGGAAAAAGAGGGCGCTGAAGGAGTGGAGGAGCGAGATGGTATCGGGTAAACAATTTCCCTCTTCCCACCTTGAGGACAAGGTGGTACTGCTTGGGAAAGGTAATGATGAAACCCTTAGTGACTAGTCTACAATAAGAAAAGTAGGAAGGGGCAGTAGTGGATTATCTATGATAAAAAGGCAACTAACGTGTGAAGAGAAGAAAAAGTGGACTGCACAGGTGGCGAAAGGAGAAGGGTGGATGGTTGAATTCTGTTAGGAGAAGGGAGTGAATAAAAGGAGCAGCAGAAGATTGAGAGAGGGGTATCTGAAAAGTGAATATAGTGAAGGGGAGGTAGCTGGCCCTCGAAGACCAGCATGGAGGTAGCTGGCCCTCGAAGTCCAGCATATTAGTTTTCCATTGTTATTGTTTGGTTAATTTCTTGTTATTCTTGTGTTGGGATTTAGTCAATCTGGAATCTGAGTAGGTTCGCATCATATTACAANCGTTGGGCTAGCTCAATTATTTGAGTTAGAGATGTGGGCTGAGCTAAACGGATTTCAGCTCTCACTTCCAGTTTCAGCCCATTGATAAAGGCTGCTTGTAAGATTTCCTCCTTCTCCCCTACCAAAAGGGCAGCGACGGCTTCAAACTGACGTCTAAACTCCATTACTGTCCCAGTTTGCTTCATGGCCATTAACGACTCATATGGGTTGAGTTCCTGGGATCCACTAAACCTTTGAAGAAGTGCTAACTTAAACGTGGCCCACGACGTCGCCGGGGTTCTGGATTTCATCCACTGAAACCAATTAATGGCTTCACCCTCCATACAAATAGCTACCGCTGTTAACCTCCCTTCTTCAGTTACTCCGTTGAGGTGAAAGTAACGTTCAACTCTAAAGATCCATCCATAAGGGTCTTCCCCGGAAAATTTTGGCATCTCCAACTTTCTCCCACTCATTCCACTGTGACTTTGGTTGCTGGTGTTAGCCCCATTTGGATTTTCATCCTGGTGAGATCGGTCATTTTCAAACGATCGTATCTCAGTTCTGCCAGTTTCTTCTTCATCCTTCCTTCGTACCCAGGACTGTAATTCTACCAGACATTCTCGGATAGTACCCATCTCAACTCCCAACTTTGTAACTTCTTTTTCCACATTGTCCAGTCTAGAATCCATTCTTGTCACAACCATAACCTAGAAGACACGGCTCTGATACCAATTGATGAACACCCGACCTGCAAATCCACAAACAGTCCAACAATCTATCCACACATAACCAACACACACTCAAATGACAAGGGTCCTGTTATATTACTAACCAAACAGTACCATACATACCAAAATATTCATTCAATAGAAATGTCCTAACAGTACTCAATCACCTAAGACAGAAATCAAAAAACAAGTATAGAAGAAAATGGAAATTGCAGGACTGACTTCGAGGGTCAGTAGCCACCCTTTCAAAATGACTTAGAAATATGTTCCCCCCTTTTCCTCTTGCCTCCAGCCCCTTTTTATTCTCTCCTGACACCTAACAGAACTCTCTTCTCTCCACTCCTCACAAGCCAGCTGTCCCACTTATAACAAACTCTAACCACCTGCCTAACCAATATTCCCCTGCTTCTTCCCTCTCTTCTTCNAACAAACTATCCACACACAATCAACTCACACACTCAAATGACAAGGGTCCTGTATTACTAACCAAACAGTACCAGAATATTCATTCCATAGAAGTATCCTAACAGTACTAAATCAAGTAAGACAGAAATCAAATAACAAGTACAGACAAAAATGGAAATTGCAGGACTGACTTCGAGGGTCAGCAACCTCCCCAATGACTGACTTCGAGGGTCAGTAGCCTCCTCTTTCAAAATGACTTATAAAATGGTTCCCCTTTTCTCTTGCCTCCAGCCCCTTTTTATTCTTCTCCTGACACCTAACAGAATTCTCTTCTCTCCACTCCTCACAAGCCAGCTGTCCCACTTATAACAAACTCTAACCACCTGCCTAACCAATATTCCCCTGCTTCTTCCCTCTCTTCTTCCTACGGTAGACCACACTCTCTGGTTGTTCATCAGTAAGATTGCCAATGGAAGCTGGTATAGGTCCACTGAAGTTATTAGAATTCAGATATCTGCAGAAAATGTAATTGAAGAGTTTCACAAACAGGACAAGCAATGATCTTAATGTTAGAAATCCTTGCGAGGTGAACCTTCCAATAATAAGAGACCAAAAGAACCTGATGAAAATACAGAAAAGAATACTGAAGTTGAAATCCTTACAAATTGACAAGCTGTGTTAGAGATCCTAATGTGTCTGGAATTAGGCCATGGAAGCTGCATTCGGTTAGCGATCTGGCAGGCAAGGGAGATCAATGGTTAATCATATGTGATAACAAAAAGTTATACATATAGTATATGTAAGATAGTGAAGCTCTTGCAATATTAATCTTACAGGTTCACAAGCTTTGTCAAATTCCCAATTGACGGCGGAAGAGTTCCTGACAAACCCTTGTTTTGAGATAAATCTCTGTGGTGCAGATGTATTAATCAAAACAAGATCATTTGTTATTACTTTTTTTCTTCCCAAATATATGTTCTTATCAATACTGATGAAGGTTGAACACATCTAGCAATTTTAAGCTGTCAAAATATACTGCCAGATCTATTGATTAAAACTTGTATGTCAATATAACTTTGTTATTATTACTTTGTATCAGGAAAGAGACAAAAAGGATGGAGAGAGAATTTACAAAGTCCCTAATTCAGGTAGATTCTGAATATCTGCATGCAGCTTCCCTCTCAAGCCTATGCCTGATAGTACACTGAAATTGGAAAATCATCAGGTCACCCTCAAGCATTGAAAACAGATGGTTAGCAGCCACACAACACAAGCCCACATCAAAAGTTCAAGTAAAAAAATGACTTACATAGAGGTCACACTTGAATTGTCACACCTAATTCCTTCCCAGGAACTGCCACAAGGATCATCACCAACCCAGTCGGGTGGTGTGTTCCGCCAGTGATGCTTGAGAGACTTTAGAGCAGCAACTGCATGCAGTAGGTTTTACAAAATAGCAATCTTGGATTAAAAAGCAAAAATAAATTTATTAATCAGGAAAACAACAGATGCAAGCTAAGCTATATGCCAGCACATGAGGGGCAGTTGAAAGTGTATGCTCATTGCTCAATTGGTGTGGCAGAGAGAGAAAAATGACAAGGGCTGCTATATTCAGTTCATGGCTTAATCTGATACAAATTTATCAGCTCTTCCTTAGGTTGTATTATAAATTTTCGATACCTGACTCCTATATAAGTTGATTTATGTTGGACTCAATAGATGAATACAAGATTCCAAAACACATGCATCATAGGAAGTCCATGGAACATGTTTTCATGAGAAACCATATTTCCTATGGTGTATGTAACCAAATTATCGGACTAGTGAGATGCACTGTACATAAATGTATAAGCAACTTACATTCCTGAGGATTTGTTACCGCCCTCATAACCAGAATCTGAATGTATAGAGTTAGCAGGAAAACACTGAGTCCTGAAGCCATTACTTGATGAAATGATTGACTAAATTGGCACAAATCCAGAAATCATTGAAGTGTGCTTATAGCTACATAATAACTCTTTTTTTTATTTGTGTTACGTATGAGTGAATATTCAAACTCTGAATTCTTTCCTAGGTCTTTTCTTAATGAAATTAAGCATTCTGTGGATTTCATTTTCAGTGATTTGGTCAAATTTCTTCTCTTGTGGGTTCTCAGAAATTGAATTGGTAAATTATTGTATTTTATAAAATTGCTCTTGTAATTGTATGTCACTTCACGTAAAACATTTCGTAGTCATAGTTCAGGCATCACTTAGAGTAGTTTAACATGATAGAAATAGAATTATTATAAATGCTTGCCAAACCAATCCATATGTATGATGTACATTTGATTATTGATCTAGTTAAAATTTAGATTGCGTTGACTTGAGGTTCCACCTTCCCAANGTGTGGCTAATAATCAAAATCAGGTTTGTTGGCATCGTATCATGCCTAGTGAATTATATTATAAATTGCTGACATCTGGCACCAATATGTGTCACATAATAAATTTATCATACAACAAGCACAATGATATATACTGTATGCAAGCATCGAAATGATTCTATAGAATTTCTAGAATAAACTATTAATAATTGTCTGTCAAGAATCCTATGGTCAAAATATAAAAAAAAAAAAAAAAAAAAAAAAATTGAAAAAAAGTATATATATATGCACGCATTCAAAATCAAGTCTAAAACATTGAATCATATACTCACATCGATAGCAATTAAAGAAAAACAACCAACACGATGGCACTTTTCGAGTTTCGACATAAATCTCTTGCTTTTTGATATCTTTTCTGGAGTGACATACAATATTTTTAGCTCTCCTTCACCTTTTTCAAGGGCCTTGTATATGAATTTCTCATTTTCTTTAGTAGTTGTTGATGTCAACATGTATGCTGGAATGCCTAAAGCAGCCAAGCACATCACCTAAAGCATTGATGATTGTAAGAAAAGCCATATAAAGCGAAATGTCTGCACAGAACACACTGTTTGTTAATAAATAAGCAAATAGCACCTGATCCTGAATCAAAGAAAGCAATGGACTGACAACAAGTGCAATTCCGTCACGAAGGATAGCTGGAAGTTGGTAGCAAAGGCTCTTGCCACCACCCGCAGCCATAATCACCAGAACATCTCTCCCACTCATGACAGCATTTACAATCTGGTAAAGATTGAAAATTAATTACTAAATTTATTCTCATTAGTAAGGAACAGAGTATTAAAACTGTTACCAAAAGTAAAAATGAATTATTGGCAATTTTCCAAATCAGAAAAAACCAACATCCAGAAGCAATTTAGATCCTATTTCAGCCTATGTTAGTTAAACTAATTTCCGGATGAGCCAGAAAAACTAGTCCAGTAAGAATCTATTTTTGCATACTCAATCCATACTTAGAGCCATCAAAATGTTGAACTCCATTCTACTGACAATTAAGAAAGCATAAAACAACAATAACAATAAATGAAGTAATTAACAAACCAAAGCTAAATAACCTCTCGCTGATTAGCACGATACGAGGAAATGCCAAACACATTGAGCCTAACATCATCGGCTCGAGAGTCCCACTCAAACGGCCCCGACCAGTCTTCCACACTAACCGAACCACCACACTGCGTAGGGCTCACTGACGCTTCGCATGCTTCCAATACAGCCTTCAGTTCCGATTGCCTGTCTTGCAACTTCTCTTGCCGATCAAGCAAGTGCTTTATCTGGTCTGTAAGGTTAATTAGTACCAGTAGAAAATTCAAATTAAATGTTGAATTTCATAATTCAAATACGTTTACACCTCACCTTGCACAAGTTGAAGCTCAACATTAACGCTGTCTAACTCCTGTAATATTTCTTCATTGTCCATTGTTGTCGTCGGCAATAGCGGGAGTCCGGAGACGAGCGGAAGAACACAGACATTCATTTGATTTTGGCTTTATTTCTCAATTTTTTGAAGAAAAACTAATTGTAGACCCTGAGGAAAGATAAAGTAACAAATCTCTTCCTAAGGTTTCCAAAATAGCAAAAATTCCCCTTTGAAAAACCGTTAATAAACCGTTAAAGCTTATTGAGTAAATGACATATTCTTACTTAAAGTTTGGCGAAATCTCAAGTTGATATATTTGATTGTATTTATTCTAAATTCTCATTCTTAAAATAACACTGTTAAAAAAAAAAGCGCACTCTCTCAATTTTTGCTTGATATGGGCTGTTTCCGATGGCGTTAAACCCTCTAGTCACCTCCATCACCTTCCCTATAGCCGGTCGTCCAAAACCCCTATGGTTCTTGATTCACTGGCCCTTCCGATTGCCGGTGCTGTTAGGTTTAGGGTTTGGTTGTTCTTCGCTGGATTCTCGTCGATTATGGCAACAATAATCCAATTGGACACCACAGTTGCAACTCTACACAACCCTTATGTCCCCAACAACCGTTTAGTCGTCGTTCATCGGGCGAGAGGTTTGTGTTCAGCACATTTTTTTTTGGAGCTATCGTGACCGGAAAATAGTGATTTGTCATGGCCGAGAAGGTTAGGGGTTTTGTAGGGGGGATTTGAGGAGTCTAACGGTGGTGGTAGGTGGGGTTGTCGCCACTCAAAACGGTCAAAAATAGGCAAAAAACAATCGCATGATGCAGCTATCGTGGCCGACAATCAGCAAGTAATGAGGGGTTGTGAAGGGTAAGGTTTTGTAAAGGGGAAGATGAGAGTTCAAATGGTGGTGACAATGGAGATTTTGGGTGAAAGAATGACCAAAAAAGGGCGAAAAACGCTAGGGGTGACGTATGCTAACGTGTGTCGAAGCAATGTTAGAGGTAGCGATCTGCTAACGTGCACGACCTCCTGCAAAATGACCAATTTACCCCTTTACTGTTATATTAAACAATTTTTTATCACTTGAAGGTTGAGAATTTAGAATAAATGCAATTAGAGATACCAACTTGGAGTTTTGCCTAACCCCGAGTGCGAATATACAAACTTGTAAATATTATCAAATTTACCAAATTGTCTTGCTATCGTTTATTTTATAATACCTCCAAGGCTCCAACAGTTGAACTTAATGTTCGGGGAATTTTCGTTATTTCTGAAACCTTAAAAGAATTTTTGTTATTTTATCATGGAAATTAATATGATTAACTCAAAAAAATTAGACCGGCCCAACAAAGCCCAATATTATGGAGTATAGTTAGAGCAAATCCCCTAAAAGCAGGCATCACCCAAACAAAAATATCCTGTGTGAAAACTGAAAACATTCCGTGACCTCTCTCTCTCTCTCTCAATTCATTCCTACTAAAATTCCTTTTTCTCGTTGCGATTAGGGCAAAAGCTTTCAACTTTTAATGTTTCCTCCCAAATCTCTCCTAATCAAGCCCGGATTCGTCTAATTGCTCTTTTATTTAATCTCCAAATATTCTTATAAATCTCTGTGTTTTTAGGGTTTTTAATCGATTACTATGTTTATTTCATCTTCACCTGTTATTAACTCCGTCGTCGTGCGTCAAAATCTTCGCGTTTTGGGCCCTGGTCTCAATCCGTTCTCTCCTTATTGCATTGCCAATCACTCCTCTTCTTCTCGCTAATTTTTGTTTTTTCCTATCATGTAAATCAGCTTCTTTGTTTATTGTTTTTCAATCAATTTGCTGTTGCGAACAAAAACGATAATTGATTATCAGGGTTTGGTTTCTGGTTTAATTAAGAAATTTGGAAAGGATGATTGAAAGCATGCCCCAAGAGCAACTGGGTCCTTTTTGTTTTCAGCGTAAGTTGTCTAAAAAGCGCTTCTTTAGGTCTGTGGTGGACAGGGATGATAGGGGTTGGACTCCCCTTCATATCAGTGCTCGTAAAGGTGATCTCAAAGCGGTAGGTTTCTTTCTTTTAGGATTTATATACGCTTTATTATTGCTTCTCTTTCTTTATAGCCTTAAATTTTGTTTGAATGACAAACTTTTTCTTTTTTGGGCTTTCATATTTTCTTGGAATTAACTGTTAGACGAGAAGGGAAACAAGAAGAATGATTAAGAGAACTTCGGAATATTTTCTTTGTATTGAATGCAAAATCTTTTAATTATAGATGAATGTTTTTTTTTAATCGTAATTAGGTCGTATTTATTACTCTCTCTTTTTAAGCCTTTTCTTTTGCTGCCTTTATATTCTTACATGAAGAGACACTAATTGATTTTTTTGAAACTCAATTGAGAGAACGTACTCTGTAAAATGAAACAGAGTTTAAGTTTGTGCTGCCTTCTAACTTTATGGGGTTGAACTGCTAGATTATGAACTGATGACCCGGCTTGAATTAATTTGACTTGTCAACAAAACCTGAAGGACCTAACTTACGAATATTTAAATATCTTTACCATGTTTTTTCGTTTCGCCTTTCTTTCCTTCAATATGATGTTTGATTATAGCCGCAAAACTATGGATTATGCAGGTTTTGCAAACTCTCATAGTTGGGTGCTCTTTAATTGTATAGTTTCTCCTGAGATGCTTCTGAAAATTTAATTCTTTACTTTTGTTTTGAAATATGTCTTTGGTCGTCTCCTTTAACATTTGTATTTTAGTGTTTTATTTTTACTTTTATATTATTATTATACTGAAATAAGGTTGGTATATGGTTCAGGAAATATATTATTTGATTTCTATTATATTATTCCTGCTGATCCATTCTGTGCCAGGAATTTACCTTGGGTAACAGTTGTTGATTTAAAAATTCTCTGGAACAGGTGAAGCAACTTCTCAATGAAGGAATGGATGTGAATGTGTCAGCATGGGGTCCCAAATCAAAAGGGGTGACTCCGCTTCACCTTGCCGCCCAGGGTGGCCACCTTGAAGTCATGGATGAATTGCTTGAGCGAGGTGCTGACATTGATGCTAGAACCAAGGGTGCTTGTGGCTGTAAGTATTTTTGTCACTGATAAGTACAATTTTTTGGCAACTCACTTTAAAAAGAATTATTCATTATGTGCTACTTACCCAACTGCTAATGGTAACCATTGCTTTATGAACATGTAAAACCAGGGACCCCACTTCACACTGCTGCCAAAGAAAGAAAGAGGGAAGCTGTTAAATTCCTGATTGAGAACGGAGCATTTTTGCCGGATAACATTGATGATAGCAGATTCAATCCGCCACTTCATTACTGCCCTGGTCTTGAATGGGCATATGAAGAGAGGGAGCGGTTTCAAAAAGAAAATCTATCTGCAGGCGAGACCTCTTATAGCTTCGAGAGCTGAATGCTCTTGCTCACTCATGCATTCACATGAGCTTGTTGCATCTTGGTTTGGTTTGGTATCTGCAACTTCATGCTTTACAGTCTTGTCCTGTGTCTAGGAAATTCTGTTGTATCTGTGTCAATGTTTAGTTTCACTTCTGATATGGGTGATGTTATAATAATTCTTGAATAATTCAGATACTTGTTCACATTATAAACAAATGTTAGTAGCCTTTCAGGCTTTGGTCTTAAATTTGTGTCCTAGAGTGAATAAGAACTTTATGAAGTTCGGTGCTTTTGTTTATGTCTAGCTATTGAAATGTGCTAGTAAGAGCGGTGTTTTTTTTTTGTCAGTTGAAAGAATTTGATGCTTTTCATTTTCAATAAAGCTACGGACACCAGGGTTTTTGCATCGAAAATGTGTATCGGCCTACGTGTCCCCCTGACTCACACCAACAATTTAGACGCGTGATTAAATAATAAATATTTTTTTAGTGAACGGTCGTCCATCAAACGTTCACTTACATGGACTCTCGTCCATATTATATGGACGGGGGTCCATTTACTATGGACGGACGTCCTCATTTAAAGGACGTCCGTCCATCAATAAAATAGAATAAAAAATTCTTATAAAAATTAAGAACGGTCGTCCCTTCATTTTGAACGGATGTTCGCAAATACGGGACGTCCATCCATTAAGTTTGGACGGACGTCCGTAAGGAATGGATGTTTGTCCAAACTTAATTTTTTTTTTTTAAATAAAATAAAAAATTTGGACGTCTGTCCATAAATTATGGACAAGTGTTCCTTAAGTTTGGACGGACGTCTGTAATCAAATGGATGTCGTCCCTTATTATGGTTTTAAAAAAACAAAATAAAAAAACTTGGAAGTATGGACAGGCGTCCGTAACTAATGGACGTCAGCAGTTCACATTTAAGGGACGGTCCCTTAATTTGCTGTTTATTTGGGGGATTGACAGCTTATTTGGGACAAAGGAAATGTCTGCTGCAGATTCCAACTGTCAGGGTGCTGTTGCTGCTGAGGTTTTCTCATCTTGCTTTGCTCTTTCAACACTATCACTATCACTGTCACGTTACACCATATATTGTGTTTATAGTTTGAGAACAACAGCACAATTTCAACAATACCCCAAACGAAGGAAGATAAACTAAACTCTTAACAGTTGTCAATGTGACTAATAACCCAATCCTTTTACGTACATATATATTTCCTGTCTATTAGTGTGCATCCTTTATTTTCAAATGATCATTCAATTAATATTCATAGATATATTAGCCATGTTTATCAATACGAACTCCTACTTAAATACTCCTGTAGTTGTAGTTGGAGTGCCCTTCAGAATTTTAGCATTTTATTTCAACTGTAACCATTTGCAGAATATAGCAAATTTATTTTTTAATCGCTACCCTCCTTCAAATTTATTAGTTGTGATTTTCTTTGGCATGTTTCAACATGTGTAATACTGTCAGCCAATTGATGTGCTTGTTGTGCTAACATGCTCACTCTCTCTCATATTAGCCATACCATTCCATTTTAGCAGGGTTTTTGCATTTTACTTCCGAAATGATCTTATAATCCAATGTTCTTTTTCAGGGCTCATCAATTGGACTTGTAAACACAATGCAGCCAGCATGCAGCAATGCAGCATCTGCTGATTCCATGGTTAGTACAAAAACTAAACCCATAATTTGTTTCACGGGAAAGCAAGCACCCTCAAGCCTCTCTTTTTCTGGTCTTACTGGTAAGAGTAATGCTGGTGATTATCAAGATTGTGATGCTTCTTCAATGCTTCTCATGGGGGAGCCTCCATGGTGTCCTCCCTGTCCTGATACTTCCTTTACATCAGCAAGCCGTAGTGAAGCAGTCATGCGTTACAAGGAAAAGAAGAAGACCCGCGAGTAAGTATATGCACATAACTACTGTGGTGAGCTCAGTGTTAAACATAATAACAAAACAATTGTGGTTTTAGCTGCTTTATTTATTTATAGAATTATTGTGTTGCAGGCTTTGGGATGCAGATTTTTCCAGCTTTTTCTTTCTGCATTTCCTTCTTAGTTGTATACTATAGCATTTCCCTTTACTGGCTTAACGATTTTGTGCCCTCAATTCTTCTTTTTTCCAATAGTATTACAATTTTCCGAGAATGAATTTTCAGTCCGTCAACTATGGTTGTAAATTTCAATGTATAAAGCGATGAATGCATAATCAATAATATAGATGAATGTGTTTATGGCTGATTTCCTGTTCATTCATAGGGATATGTTATTTGATAATATTTCTTAATTTGGATGACAAATCTGCTGTTTACATAAGGACGGCCGTCCCTTAAGTGTGGACTGCCATCCATACATAATGGACGGGCGTCCATTAGTTACGGACGCCCGTCCACACTTCCAAGTTCTTTTATTTTGTTTTTTTAAAACTACAATAAGGGATGGACGTCTATTTGGTTACGGACGCTCGTCCAAACTTAAGGGACGCCTGTCCACAATTTATGGACAAACGTCTAAATTTTTTATTTTATTTTTTAAACCAAATTAAGTTTGGACCGGCATCCATTCCTTACGGATGCCCGTCCAAACTTAATGGATGGGCATCTCGTATTTGCGGACGCCCGTCCAAAATAAAGGGACGGCCGTCTACAACCTATGAATGGCCGTCCTTAATTTTATAAGAATTTTTTATTCTATCTTACTCATGGACGGGCGTCCTTTAAATGGGGACGTCCGTCCGTAGCAAATGGACCCTCGTCCATATAATATGAACGGAAGTCCATGTAAGTGAATGACCGTCCATATTTGATGGACGACCGTTCACTAGAAAAATATTTATTGTTTAATCACGCGTCTGAATTGCTGGTGTAAGTTAGAGGGACACGTAGGTCGGTACACATTTTCGGTGCAAAAACCCCGGTGCCTATAGCTTTATTGTTTCATTTTTCATCCTGCAGTGCAGTAAATTATATAGTTGGTCAAGTGGTTGGGCTAAGCAGTTCGGCCCAAATCATTTGAGATGGGCAATGTTATAATACCTGTAATCAGGTTAAGAGAGCAAAGCATTTGGGGACTGATCCAACATTCATATAAGCCCTAGCCCAAATTAGGAAGAGGAACAAATAATAAAATTGGGAGGCCCAATTTATGATAGGGGCATTTAAGTCTTCTGAACTTAAGTAGTGTGAGCTATAGGTAACTTAAAAAAAAAATAAATAACATGTATTAGTTTGTATTTTCCGAAAAGATTGGTACTATTTGGATATTTGCCAAACTTTTTCTCTCCGCTTAATTTAAATACACATTATATCTTGTCACGAGATATTGACGAAATATTTGCATTTATTATGGTATCAGTTAACTTATGAGTCTACGTCAGCATTCTGTGTAAGCAATGGACAAATTTTCACTTTTACTCGAACCACCCAAAAAATAATAATATTTAATATTTCTGTGCATCATTATCATATCATCTGTTAACATGAACAAAAATTGTTTTTCAAATTGCTAAATTTGTATAAAATCAAATGAATCAAGAATTGGTTGTAGCCGGCTGGCTCATCCGTGGGAGGATATGAACCGTTAAAGCTTGGTACCCATTCGGTGTTTCCACCACCCACAGCCGCGGTGGCTCCGCCACGACATCCACTACCACGATTCCACCTTCATCACCACCAATGACACAAACTCTCCCACCACCACCCGCAATCTGCTGAGCTCCCACGAGCATATTTGACTGAATTATCTGAACCCAATCATCCTTTTCTTCATCGTACTTTCTCAATGCACCGTTAGTCTCATCCACCATGAACATCACCTCCTCATCCACGGCCGCCACCGGGCCCCTCCACCCTCTAATCATCCCATCCGGCATCTCTCGCCACGTGTCGCTATCAACGTCGTAAACAACTCCTTCCTTGGCGCCATACCCTTTCACATTAACCATGCACAGCTTCCCTCTCCACCCGACGGCATCCACGGCTTCTCTGCAAAATCTCCCATCTTTAAGCCCTTTCATCTTCTCCCACCTCCCCCCGCCACCATTGTGATAATAATTATTATTATTCTTGGTTTTGTGCAGGTCCCACTTCTCAACCGACCTTGCCACGTCCGTCGAGAAATGAGATCCGATACCGCTCGCCACGTACACAACGTTGCGGAGCGAGCCGGCGACACACCACCGGCGGGGGGTGAGGAGCGGGGGCCCAAATTCCCAGTTCCGGTGAATGGGATTGAACAAGAGAGGACGCTTGAGGGCGGGGTAAAAATTATGAGTAGTTGCAGCCAGAAGTACAAGTTTCCCGGAAACGGAAACGGACTGAATCGGGAGCTTCCGGGATAGAAAAGAAGGGTGATGGAGGATGAGGTGGATCGGAGGATCTGAGGGCGAAGGAGGAAGAGCCTCCCACGTTGAAGAAATGGGATCGAAAGAATAAAAATGAAGAATTTTATCAGATTTGGATGAAAAAAGAGTGTACAAAGAAAGAAAAGGAGCAAAAGAAGGGGAGTAAATCAAACGTCTCCAAGAACGGGAGACGCTGAAGAGAATAGAAGGGTGGACTCTGGAGAGGCAGAGCTGAGCGATGTGATCGGGAAGACCGGGAAGCAAAGGCGGCGGCTTATCGGATATGAGTTGAGTTCGATTTTGGCGCTTGGCGGGGAAGTCAGTTTGAGACATAGAGAATTGCGGAGGAGGAGGAGCAGAGTTGTGTCCTGAGGAAGGGTTATGGTGGTGAAGATGATTTTTTTTTTCCTTCGATTGAAAGTAAAGGAATAGTGATGGATTTTTTTATTTTATTTTATTTTTGTCTTTTAAATTGATTTAAGTTGGTAATGCTATTAATTGCTGCTCATTGATTGCCCTTCATTGTCGATCAGAAATTTCTTTTTCATTTGAAGGAGTTTGCATGAAAGTTTTTATCTCTTTTATGATTCAAACCGCCAAATCCAAGTAGCTAGGGACAGGGGGCCCGGGCGTTTACAAAATTTTATTCAATCTCGTGAACCTTTTGAAATCACAAAGTATGCCATAAAACTAAATTAATATACACAAATTAAATACAAAAAGTTAAAGTTCTATTATCACATGTCATTTATTTTAGAGTAATGTTAGGTCTATAACCTAAAGGATTAGATAGGGGTAGATCCAAGAATTTTGTCTTGGGGGAGCCTCTAGGGCTTCGTCATTGTTTATCAAACAACTATTGAAAATTTTTAAAAAATTATCATACCTTAAGCAAATGAAATAATATAATATCAAGAACTTGAAAGAAAATAATACAATAACACAATAATTTACTACTTGAATAAATCTATGAGAAGCAAAACATTGAGCACATATGTTGAAAATAACATCTAATTCACAAGGAAATACAATAAATTTTTTACATGAAAAAACATCTTTAATGTAAAAAGATAAAAAAACCATGGAATCTAACTATCCACTTAAATCCAATATAATTAAAAGAGTTTACAACAACCACAATCCACCAAAAATATTCCACATAAATTTCTTATTTCTTTTTTATTATTATTATTATTATTATTTTGCTTCCAAAGATTATAATATAAATTTTTATGACTTTGATTAAACTTAGCTTAAGCTAAAGTCAACCAAAACTTAAATCAAGTCAACACTACGTTGACTTTTAATAGAATTAATAAAAAAAGGGAAAATTTTCTTGGTATAAACATAAACAGTAACTCAAACTTCTTTAATAATTTTGAACAGCTAAATGGTGACGTTTGAAATGTAGAAAAGTAGTGGGTAAAGGGTGAAGAATAATGTCTAGTAAAATATAGTTAAGGTTAAATTTGGGAAAGCAGGAATATTCTTAGACACAAAACATAAAACAAACTCACAAGATCCACGTCTTTTCCCATCAAATTAGAATAAAAAACCTTCAAAAAACAAGCATGATTCAACTATAAAATAAACTAAAATAAAATGAGCAATACACAAATATAAAATTAATAAAACAAAAACCGGAGCTAATTATTGCACCTTGAGTAGTGAAAGCTTCAATAATTCCAGTCTTCAAAAGTTTTGAGAGTAAATAGCATGAGAAAGAGAATGAGAGAGTAAAGAATTTTGGGAATAAAATCATAAAAAGCAAGTAGAGATATAGAGAAGAGTGGAAAAAGTTTTAAACTTTTAATATGATGTAGACCTGGAATATATATATTAATAACAAGTTTTTTGTGGGCCTAGATATATGTATAATATTTCTCATTTTTTAAAATTTTGAGGTAGGTATAAATATATATATCAATAGCCTTTTTTTGGGTGGGCTTATATAAGCAATTTATATGTATTAATAGCATTTTTTTTTTTTTTTTTTTGTGGGCCTATATAAGCAATTTTTTTTAAAAAAATGTGAGGGTTGGGGCTGGGTCCGCCCTTGGGATCAAGTAAACCATAATGTTTTTGTGGTAGATGTTACCAAGGTTTGAACCCAAAAACTTAAAAAAAAGAGCAAAATTCATTGACCGTCAAGTCAACCCCTTGGGGTTAAATAAAAACTTGGTGTCACCCCTTGGAGTGAGTGTTTATTTCTTCACATATGAATTTTGATTGTTCATTTCTCTTTAATTAACACAATCAACTTATGTAAATTTTACTTCATGTATGTATGGGCCAAAAATTGTATTGGGCCTGACGAGGCCCAATAACAAAATAAACATGCTATGGCCCAAGGCCTTAGCCCAATTTTGGTTGGGCCCACGCTTAAATCTACTTTGCAAACTGCCCTCTCCACGAGTTGGGCTACCCTACAAATTAAGCTTGACTGGGTTTCGACCCATCAGCCCACAACAGTCCAATAAACAGAGAATCGGAATCCAATTCTGCTTCTTCTTCGGGTAAGACCTAGATTCTCGCCGAAATTGGTGAGTCTAATCCGATAAAGGCGAGGAATCATATCTCTTCCAGAAAGAGAACTCCTCCAATGACAGGACTCATGATCCTTTCGGGATGGGAACACTCAAGGTTCACTATATAAACAGAGGCAAACCCTTTAATGCGGGATCGCTCGAAGCCCTAGCATTCTGCCCTAAAACCATAGCATCATTCCGT